AGCATGCAGTGTTGATTGCTTCCGCCCATAGAGCTTCGGGGGTGTTGTACTCATCTAGCATTGTTCTTGCAAGAGTGATCAATGTCCGGTTCTTTCTCTCAACTACACCATTTTATTAAGGAGTATAGGTTGCGGAGACTTCATGTTTCATTCCAACTTCATCACAATATGCCTCTATGTTTGTGTTGTCAAACTCTTTCCCATTATCACTTCTTATCTTCTTGAGCTTCACTTCAAATTTATTTTGTGCTCTTTTGGCAAACTTTTCGAAGCAAGATGCAACTTCGGATTTGTCATGAAGGAAGAACACCCATGTATACCTTGAATAATGATCAACTATCACAAGACAATAAAGATTTTCTCCCAAGCTCTTGTATGTTGTTGGTTCAAACAAATCCATGTGTAGGAGTTCTAGCACTCTTGTGGTTGACATGAAAGCTTTTGTTGGATGAGTATTTGTAACTTGCTTACCGGCTTGACATGCACTTCAAAGCTTGTCCTTCTCAAACTTCACATCCTTCAATCCTCTCACCAAATCATTCTACATTAGCTTCTTGAGTGAACTTATACCAACATGAGCAAGTCTTCTATGCCATAGCCACCCAAGTGTTGTTTTGGTGAATAGGCATGTCTTCAAGTTTGCATCTTCGGAGGTGAAGTCCACTAGATATAAGTTGTTGTATCTAAATCCTTGAAATATCACTTGATCATCATCCTTCTTGGATACAACAACCTCCTTCTCGGTGAACAAGCATTGGAAGCCAAGATTACACAATTGTCCTATGGATAGCAAGTTGAAGCTCAATGAAGCAACATATAGCACATTGGAGATGGAATGATCATTTAATATTGCCACTTTGCCCAATCCTTTAACCTTGCCCTTTAAGTTATCTCCAAATGTAATTCTCTCTTGTCAATCTACTTCTTCATCAAGTGAGGTGAACATACGAGGATCACCGGTCATATGTTGTGTGCAACCACTATCAATAACCCAATGACTTCCACCGGTCTTGTAGTTCACCTACACACAAGAGATTCAAACTTTAGGAACCCAAACTTGTTGAGGGCCCTTCACCTTCTCAACAAGTGACTTAGCAACCCAAATCTTCTTAGGCCTATTCTTGTTAGGAGGTCCTAAGAACATGACTTTCATCTTTCCACTAGAATCCTTTCTAAGCATGTAATGAGCATTAAAGGCAAAGGGTCTAGCATGCTTGGGCAAGGGTTGTGGTGGTAGAGTTTGACACTCATGAGCAAAGTGGCCTTCTTGTTCACACTCAAAGCATCTCTTTGGCTTCAGCTTTGATTGTTGTTGTTCAATTTGAGCCTTCTTGTTCTCTACATATGCCACATATCCAATGCCACTTCTATCCATCTTCATGACGGTGTTCATAAGTAGCTCACTTTGAAGATATTTGCCTCTTGTGAACTTGCTCAATCCAACCTTGAGATGCTCTTTCTCCAACTTAAGCTTCTTGTTCTCTTCCTTAAGAGCATCATTGTTCTTTTCTTCCTTGAGCTTCTTGTTTTTCTCTTTGAGCTTCTCATTCTCAAGGATCAAGTCACCATCATGATCAAGGGTTTCTAGCACAATGGTGTTGTAGCTTTTGATTTCTTCAAGATCTCTCTTGAGCTTTGCATTGTCATTCTTGAGCTTGACATACTCATCATAGTCATTGCACTCAACCACTTGCATGTCCTTGATACTAGAACCTTGCTCAATGCTCTCAATGATCAAGCCATCACATGATGTAGCTATATCAATCTTAACAACATGGTTAGTAGCATCATGCGGCTCATTGGATATAAATTCTTGAGCAATAGCAAGATTATCATGATTAATCTTAAGAGTAGTATATTCATCTTTTAGCTTGTTGTGGCTAGTGATGAGCTCATTGTGCACCCACTCAAGTTTATCATGTTTATCTTTAAGCTCTTTCTTAGAAGATTTTAGCTCCTTGAGTTTGGATGGCATAGCATCGTTTGCTTCTCTAAGCTCAACATTAGCCTTTTCTATTGTATCATATTTTGCTAAAAGTGAATCATTCTTAGCATCTAGTTTTTCAATTTTAGCTCTACTCTTTCTAATGATCTTAGTGTATTTTCTTAGAATTTTAACAAGATCATCATATGAAGGTGAATCATCATTATCACTATCGCTATCATCATCACTAGCTTGCTCATCATCACTACTATCATCATTATTAGTTACCTTGCGTTCACCCTTGGCCATAAGGCATATGTGTGTAGAGGATGATGGCGGTGATGGCGGTGAAGATGAGAGACCAATAGCTATGGCGACCACCTTCTCATCGTCACTATCATCATCGGATGATCCACTAGATGAATCAATGTCTATGAGCCAATCACCGATAATGTAGGCCTTTCCACTCTTCTTCTTCTTGTGGAAGTCTCTCTTCTTGCCATCTCTCTTCTTGTATGGCTTGTTCTTCTTCTTTTTATTTTCTTCTTCATTGCTTGAGTCATCTTTCTTGCCCTTGAACTTGTTCTTGAACTTGTCTTTCTTGGACTTGGTGCATTGGTGTGCTAGATGACCAAGTTCACCACAATTGAAGCAATCCATTTCGGAGATTGGCTTTCTCCTAGAGCTTGTGAAGAACTTCTTCTTCTTGCCATCGAACTTCATACCACTCTTGTTTAGCTTCTTTAGCATCTTGGCGGCTTTCTTCACCATGAGAGCAAGATCTTCATCTTCATCTTCTTCATCACTAGAACTCTCATACTCAAGTCTTGCTTTGCCCTTATCTTGACTAGCTTTGAATGCTAAATCTTTTTCTTTCTTCTTAGTAGAGGATGAGCCATCTTGAGGTGTGATGTGCATGTACATTTCATGAGCATTGATCTTCTCCAAGATTTGTGTTGGTGTAGCGGTGGAAAGATCACCTTGATGTAGCACGGTCACAATATGCCCATATTTGTCAATGGGAAGGACACTCAAGATCTTTCTCACAACATCGGATGGTGACATTTGAGTAAGTCCAAGCCCATTGACTTCCTCTACAAGAATATTCAAACGTGAATACATTTCATTAGCATATTCTTTAGGAAGCATTTCAAAAGAGTTGAGCTTTTTCATGACAAGATGATAGCGTTCCTCACGCTTACTCTTTGTTCCCTCATGGAGCGCACAAACGTCTGACCATAGTGCATGGGCGTCTTTTGTGGTTCCTTACGCTGTTGAACACATCTTTGCAAATGCCTCTAAAGATGGTGTTATGAGCCTTTGCATTCCATTTTCATAGTTCACTTCATCGCCTTGAAGTTGTAAAGGGATTCCTAGGTTTTGGGAACCCATGAGGCGGCTCTAAGTATTCCAACGTCTAGAGCTTCTAGGTACGCCTCCATGCGAATTTTCCAATATGAAAAATCATCCCCCTCGAAGATAGGAGGAGGTCCATCCCTATGAGACATCTTGCTCTAAGCGATTAAGCTTAAAAACGTGAGCACAAGGCTCTGATACCAATTGAAAGGATCAAGATGCCCAAGAGGGGGGGTGAATTGGGTTAATTCTAAATTTCTTTCAATAAACAAGTCATATGGTTAGCCCAATTAACCCCTTGTGTCTAGAGAAGTGTTTCTATTGATCTAGCGCACAAAAGTTCAGCAACCTAGTTTCAATCCTACTCTAGCATGGCAATTCTAGGAATGTAAATGACAAGAATTGAAATGCTCAAAGTAAATGCTCAAAGTAAAGAGAGGAGACGAAACGTGGTGATGTTTTGCCGAGGTATCGGAGAGTCACCACTCCCCACTAGTCCTCGTTGGAGCACTCCCAGCGCAAGGGTGTAGCTCCCCTTGATCCGCTGTAAGGATCAAGTGCTCTCACGGGTTGATTCTTCGACACTCCGTCGCGGTGAATCACCCACAACCGCCACAACTTGAGTTGGGTCATCCACAAGCTCTCCAGATGATCACCAAGCTCCCAATCATCACCAAGCCGTCTAGGTGATGGCGATCACCAAGAGTAACAAGCACGAACTCTCACTTGACCACGACAAGCCTAGGGAGAAGGGTGGATGCACACTTTGCTACTCTTGATCTTCACTAATGAGGGCTCTCTTTGGATTCTCAAATCTCAATCACCTCACTAGGACATTCCTCTTCTTGGCACTTTCTAAGGTGTGTTTCATTTGTTGAAATGAGCAAAATCACTCCACACACGAAAGTGGAGCTTCTATTTATAACAGGGGCTGAAAAATGAACCGTTATGTGCCTCTACGGGGTGACCGGATGCTCCGGTCACTTCAACCCGCACACTAGTATTTACGTGTTGATCGGACGCTGGCAGGGTCCGGTCACCACTGACCGGATGCGTCCGGTCCCATTTTTCCCTCACTGGATGCTTACTGTACTCGACCGGACGCTGGATCCTCAGGGTCCGGTCAGCACTGACCGGACGCGTCCGGTCGCAGATTCACTCTTCTAGAACCTTACTGGAGTCGACCGGACGCTGCCTCTCAGCGTCCGGTCACTTGACCACTCAGCGTCCGATCGCACCAGACGCAATCTCCTTGGTTAAATGAACTGACCGGACCCTGTGGCCAGCGTCCGGTCGCACCGGAGCCAGTGTCCGGTCAGTATTTGACCCTCCATTCACTTCCAACTCTCGATCATACGTGAATGAAGTTTGCTCCATTGGATCTTAGGCATATGTAGGAGCTACCTAGCGCTAGTTTCAACAAGTGTGCACCACACCTAACTCACTAGACTCATCTAGGTCAAACTACCCGTCCATACCCCCTTAATAGTACGGCCAAAGGAAAAACAAAGTCATAAACTACTCTAAGTGTCTCTTTAACTTCAATCGACACTTAGAACTAGTCATCCTTAATCTTGTCGTCCATCCTTTGAAAACCGAAACGATTTTCATCGTAGGGGCATGACAACCATGATTGCCCAATCGATCTTCATTACCGTGACCTAACTTAATTGACTCTGCAAAACACACGTTAGTCACAGTAATCTAACTTTGTCATTAATCACCGAAACCCAATTAGGGGCCTAGATGCTTTCAGACGCGATGGGGCGGAGCGTCGGGCCACGATTGTTGGTGGAGAGCGGCTCCGTCTCCTCAAGCCCGCCACAGTGAGGGACGAAGTCGGCATCGGGAGCACCGGCTCGACGTCCATCACCACGGGGCCGGCCGAGTTAGAGGGGCCAGCGACATCCGGGGCAGAGGGGCTGAGGCGCTGGCGGCGGGGGGGGCCGTAGCCATGTTCGACGCAGAACGCGTGGCAACCATGGCGGCGTACACGGTCCCAGTCCGTGCTCGGGGCGACGGGTGCAGGCGGTGGCGCAGGGCCATCTGGAGCATCGACGCACGACAACGACCACCATGACCACCCACGCACATCCGAAGTCCCCGCCCTCTCCCCTTCCCGGCATTCGCCAAGGAGGTAGCGGAACATTTCGAGGAGTTCGTCGCGGATGTAGTGGTGGTTGAACGGGATGTTCATGTTGATGGCACGGTGGAGAATCAAGAAGACGAGATCGACGACTAGAATCGCCGGAGGTACGTAGCGCATTGGAGGCATGGTACCTTTGGATCTTCACGAACTCGATCTCGCCGGCCTTTGTTTCCTCCTTCTGAACTCCCTCTCGAGAGCGCAGATCGTGAGCGTAGCGTGCTGATAACGTGTGAAAACTAGGATGTAAATGGAACACAATGGAATGGCCAGTGAACCAGTTGTAATTCATTGATCTTTGATATGCATATATATACATGCCGTACGGATGCCATGGGCATGCACGGAGGCAACTGCTCCATGGCGCCGACTGTTCGAATAGAGGGAGAGAGAGGAGCGTCCATGCGGTTCCCAGGAGTGGGAGAGCGGGAGCGGTTCCCCTCCAAATGAGATCACTGCAGTTGTAACATCGTCGAGCGCTTCTGCAGCTCGCCGCTGTCAATGGAGACGGGTCCACGTGTAATCGATGAATCGAATCGAGGGAGGAGGAAACAGAGAGAACATTTTCTTACTATCCTACGGGCTGATTCGATAGATGATTCAAATTTAAAGGCTGCCAGATGGTGTTGTGGGGTGGAGGAAGTGGATTAGATAGAGGGAGATCAGAGGACAGGAAACAGAGAGCCGGAGCTGGTAACGAAGATGCGTACACACAGCTATTTAAACGTGAAGGTAGCAACGGATGGTTCAAGTTCTCACTACACATGTATTTGCATTGATGTAGGAGAGGAATCGATGTGGAAATAATAATGTCTGGCTGTTCGTTTGGTGCACAGTCCGTCATGTAATGCGTCGGTTGTGGACATTGAGTGAGGGAGTCGAAGAGATGGCTGCTTTATATGAGACTAAGAATTGCATGGTGCAAACTAAGTGATGACGTGGATCGCTATGGGATTGCTTTAGTGACTTGTGGACCCTTCGATGACGTGGCTTCACGAAATCGCAGAGAAATATGGTAATGGGGTTTTGCTTTATAAGAGTATAAGATTACGATGGACTCATTGATGTGATCCATTTCTTATGTTAGACATAATACAGCCAAACGTCTCGCAGATGGATTTGTCATATGATCTGATTCCATCTGAGTTCAAGTACTAGTCTTGGAGATCAGGTTGATCTAGCTACTATCTATAGAGAAATGTGCAACAATATAACGAGTAGATCGAGTTTCGAAGCAGTACTTTGATTTAGCCCAGCTTCCATGCCTGACCCCCATGCATGCTGAACTTCTTGAGCCTGCCGTAGAACATGACGGCCATGAGCGTGAGCTTCCCTTCCCTGCTCCACTTGCCGGAGAAGCCAACCCACGCGTCCCTGCAGCTGCCGTCGGGCGTCACCTGCCTGCTGCAGCTGTACCCGGTGCTGAATCCCACGTTGCCATACGCACTGCACGCATCACCATGTTGCATTGCTTCATTGTGAGCCCAGTGCAGTGCAAGAGATCATCTATTGCGCTTGGAGTTAATTGATTAATTAATAAACACCTGATGACTTCGACGACGATGTTGAGGACGCTGAAGTTGATTGGGTCGTGAGCAATCTGCCGCCGCTCGGTGATGCAGACGACGACGATGAAGATGGTTAGGCACGAGAGCGGCGACATGAGCAGCTTCTGCCAGATGCTAATACTGCTGCTGCTCTTGCTCTTGTCGTCGGGTTGTGCCTCATTTTGCTGCTGCTGCTGGTCTTCCATCGCTACGGGTAAAATGTGGTGTAAGGCGGTAGATACCTGCAGAGGGAGTAAAGCATGAGCATAACCGAGTAAAATTATTTAAAAAAAAAAAAACTAGTAATAGTTTGTATGCTTGCTAGCTTAAACACAAGGTTTTAAATCTCCGGCTATAGCTGTTTGAGAAGGATTTAGCTAAGTTTTCTCATGTATAATTTAGCTCTTAGCTACCGCTATAGCTCTGCTATAGCCTGTTTTGGGACATAGATAGTTAAATGCCTTAGCTGGCTATTTAAAACACTGCTTAAACATCATGTGTCATGATTATATAGTCATACGCATCACACGATGGTAAGTTTCAAGTAAGGCTATATCATTTAGTATTAGTAGTAATATCAATACATATTGTTGGAACGTGATCAAACTATATTATAACAAATCGATATTTGGACGTGTTGGTGGACCATGAGCACATGTGCAACTAACTATGCATGAACTAGATAGCAGTGCCTGATGTCATATGTATAAATATAATATAATAAATGTAGTGCACAAAACTTCCTAATTAACACTACCGACGATCTTGGATCTTCTATATATCGAATATCGATCGATGTATTTATTTACGTACTTTACTTACATCATGAGCACATAGAGCACGACGATGGTGGACGACACGGTGGCGAGGTCGACGACCATCTCGCCGGAGTGCCTGGAGTTGACGGACATGAAGAGCGCCGCAACGAGCTTCTGGAACGCGGTGAGCCCACGAAGCCCATCGGAGCCCCACTCCATGGCGCAGTAGAGCAGCAGCTGCACCGCCAGGAACACCGCCACGGTGAGAGCCAGGAACCATGTGCGGGCTCCGGGCAGCAGGTGGTCGTAGCCTATAGCGGCGGCAGCTGGTCCGCCGCCGCCGGGTCCTCCGTCCTTCAGCAGCTCGCGGAGGTCTCGCCTCCTGGTGACCCTCTCGAGCGCTGTAATGGAGAGCCTGAGGAAGACGGGGAAGAGCGTGTTCCCGAGGAGGATGTGCGGCATGACGAGGAGGAGCATGCCCGGGAAGGACTTGAAGGACACCATCCCCTCGTTCGTTGGCACGAACCCACAGTTCGCGAACGTCGAGACGACCGTGAAGACGGAGAAGGTGCTCAGGCTGATCCTCTTGCCAACCAGCACTGCTCTCGCGCCGCCGACCACGCCGAGGTAGATTAGAATGAACGTGTAGCCGGCGAGGTGCACCACCAAGAGGTAGCCCAGCACGATGAACATTAGCAGCCTAGCCATGGATGCGAAATCACGTTGGTCGTTCTCGTTGAACCCTGCTAGCTCCATTTGGACGGCGGCCTGGCCGGCTTCCATTTCCATGGGACGGCGAGGGCGACTGTGCTCTAAGCTACTAGATGCCGGCGGCGGTCCATTAATATTACCATGGAGCCTATTGTTACTATGAGGTGTTTCTCTCTTCTTGATGAGCTTGGTGCAGGTGAAGTGGAGACCAAGCATGCTTGTGAACACCTCGCCCCGAGGAGCATCAGGAGGGTCATGAGGAGGAGCTGGGAGTTGGAGAAGGATTCCATCTCGACGGCGACCATGCTGGAGACTGTCGTCGCCGACACGGACGTGAAGACCAGGTCGAGAGCCGAGGGCCTAGGGAGGGAGGCGGACTTCATGGGCAGAGCTTTCAGCATCAAGAAACCCAAGACGCAGATGGAAAGGAAGTACAAGAGTTGCACCCAGAACGGGTGCACATGGAAGAGCAGAAGGTGGTAAAACTTGCGAGGACTACTACTTCTTAGGGACGTGCAAAGGACCCATTTAATTTGTTGGCGCTATATCTCTGTGCTTAGTTTCTATGGACCGTTGCGTTTTGATTTATTTGCATTGTTGTGTATGGAGCGACCAGAATTGTGCTATTTATACACGACGGGGGAGAGTGAGAGAGCGAGCAAACGAGAGAGTGGTGCGAATCCAAGGTTTATCATTGTTTTACTTATCATCATGTTGATTGTGCTCAACGCAATGATCACGCAATACAACGCTAGTGCACTATGTGCATATCCATTGATGCAACTAATTCAGTATGGCTCAAAAAATTACTAGCCGCCTTAGAAACCATTCTTGTAGTAGTGAATCTCTAGTGCTCTCTCTGCGGCGCGTCGAGGTCACCAGTATTAACTAGCAGCAACCTAAACAAAAAGCAACTGCCAAACAATGATATATATTGTATGTGTTATTTATAGTGCCAAGTCTCTTTAACAAGGTGATGAGGCCCTACTTTACTTTACTTTACCAAAATAAATCTTCTTCCAACTCAAGGAACTGTGAACACATTGTGGAGATGTGCCCATGTTTGTGTGATGAATGATTGATACAAGAGTTGAGAGGTTTGAGGCTTTCCCGGTTGAGCCATATTTCAAATGTGCTTGACTATGCTAATGGCTAACCGAAGGTATCATGATAAGTTGTGTCGTTTGTGTTGTGTAACATGTCTCTTGGCTTGTGAATGTGCAGGTGTTGGGTGTGCCAAGGCGGTCGATGGCAATGGAGAAGGTCAATGCAAGTGCAAAGTCTGTACGCAATGGACCAAGAACGGCGAAGGACGGACGAGAAGGCTTGGACTGAGGGACTAGATACTGGAGAACGGACCATGTGCGGCTCACATTGGGCACAAAGAAGAGCAAGAGTGCATGGGTGATGGAGACGACGTCAACTGAGTCAAGGATAGGGTTGGACCAAGTCATGGCGAGGTGTCGCGAGCACTTGGTGGACCGCCGTTGGGCCGAGGACATGGAGGTCAGAGACGCATCAACATTAGTTAGTCATGCTTGGCGAGGTGTGCACGAGGGTTTATCGGTTTGGTCCTCAAAACCGCGGATGGGTGGTTTGGTGGCTTGGACCTCAAAACCATCGGGGAGGAGGTTTGTTGGTTTGGGCCTCAAAACCAGGGAGTGAATGGTTTGGTGGTTTCGGTCTCAAAATCATCAACGGTGGGTTTAACTAGTTTGAGCCTCAAAATCATGGAGTGGTGGATCGGTGGACACGTGGTGGCATCTCGAAGCTTGCGTTGACGCCAAGCAAAGTGGAGAAGGCGTTGGACTCGTCGGGTCGATGAAGAGAAACTTGGATGGTTTTAATTATCCCTAATGGGTATTTGGGCTAAGTGCTTCATGTAAGGGCAACTTGGGGGACATATATGAGAGATGGCTGGTTGTGGAGACTAAGTCTTTGGAAGCCTTGGGTATTAAACTCTCATTTGTTAGGTTGATGAGACTTTAGTTTACGGCTAGAAAGAGAGGAGAGACGAGTGGATCTTTGATTAAGATTTTTGTCATCTAAGTTTTGAGATCTACTAGGAGTGACTTGTAATCATTCATTGTAATCAAGAGATCAAATTCATGCTTCACTTGTTCTTCTCCTCCCAATCTGTGTGGAAATAGTCTGTGTGATTTTCAACTCATGATTTTCATTAGGACTTCACAATGTCCTAAGGAAGATGATTTTCTTGCTCGATTCTTTTTGTGCTGAAAACAGGTTGCGTGGAACTTTCAAGCACCTCGAGAGGTGAAAATCATCTTCTTGTGTTTTCAAGGTGTTTTCCTGACTTTTCTTTACTTCCGCTTGGCCATTTGGGCTTTCCTAGCACTATCTCTATGCCATATAGCCTTGTCATGAGTACAGGGGCTTGAGTTTGCTAGAGGAGAGGAGATTTGGTGAAGATTAGGATAAAGCCAAGTTCTTAGATAAGAATTTTAATTGGCTCTCATTCATTCTTCTCTCGTCGCTGTTTTGGTCCTTTAGGAACTCTCTGTATATTAAGGAAAGGAACAAGGTATATAACTTGGGTTCTTCTTGCAGGTGCAAGCCATCTTATTAGTTATTACCTCCTCCAGAGTTTTTTTACTTTTTGCTCCTGGGGGGACCCCTGTTTAATCTTTTCTTTATTTAATGAATTTGACACCTTCTCGTCCTGGTTAGTATAGAATAGAAAGCACAAGATGTTGAAAATAATGAGTACATAGTGTTGGTAAAACATGCTGAGCAACCTAGTCAGAGTCAGTATAAAGATGCTGAGCGCAGACGAGCGTGAGTGGAAAATCCTAACCAAAAGAAAATTGTGGCCACTAGGAATATAAGTTCTAATTATTTCTGGGTCATTGGATCGATTCAAAATTTGATCACCCACTGAATTGGAATGTTATTTACATATAATTTGAGTGAGGTGAAAATTTAACTAGAATAATGTCTGACTATAGTTGGAGGATATAAGAGGAGGAAAAAATAGTCGCAAAAGTTTATTTGTTAGGAATAATTAGCATTGTACATTGAACCATATTTTCTCAGCTAATGTCTATATGACATGGCATTATCATGGACACTACTATTACATAGTGTTTTCTAGTGGGACCGCCCTCAGGTTTTCTGCTCCGGGATAAACGAGCCATGCATGTTCCGTAGCAACACTGGCACAGGAGAGAATTTCTTGCAAAGCTTTTGTCTTGTTCTGTTGCCACGAATCAATTCCTAACGGGTGATCCAAAATTGGTGGTACGGTACGGTGCAATGCCATCAAAGGATTGATGACACATATGCCAAGGTTCTGTGCAGTTCTTGCATTTGCTCGCCACTCGTATCCCATCACTATATTCTTTGGAGATCTATTTTGTAAAATATCGATATATGGAAGATTAGAACGAGTCCTCCAAAGGGACGCGAACAGCTTGCTGCTAGTGGAACAGAAAGATATCGACCCTGCGTAATCCTAGGATGACCCTAGCGGGCCTTACCACCCCGCACAAGTAAAAAGAAAAAAAAAACTTTCTCAAAGTTTTCTTAAACCCACACTCTCGTTCTCTATATTTTTTATCATCATTGGACATCTTCTCTATATCTTGTTAACACACTTTACGGAATCAGCTCCAATTTCCATTTCCATCTTTAGCTAGTGAGAAACTTGGAACTGAGGATGCCTGTATATGAAGACCAAATTCTCTTTTCTTATTTACTATCAAATTTGCCCGTGCATTATAACAGAAGAAAAAATTATCAAATGTTAATAGCAAAGAATGACAAAAAAAAAATACATATCTATTTATTTGGGTGTTTCACTCTGCCCCGAGACCCCGACACAAAATTGGCAAGGGTGTGGGCAGTGGGTTTCTCACAGGAAGGGGATAGCAAATGTTCTTGTGTTCTTGAGATACTTTAATAAGTGTGACAGTTTAAGAGATGACAATACTATGTAATAAGTAATAAAAACAAGCGTACAAAGACAGACCACCGCAATCAACAAGTGTTTCTGAATTAGATTTCACAGTTCACATCAAATAAAACTGTAGGAAAGCAAGTAGAAGATGCAGATCTGGTCATCTGGTGAAGAAAACAGCAGCGCTCGAAATTTGAAAGACCTCATAGGAGGGCATGAACCATATGAAACTATAACGGCTAATGTTTTTGTAAGCGGTAGAGTCTTACCGCCTGTGACCGGAAGGTTCCGGGTTTGAGTCGCGGTCTCCTCGCATTGCACTGACGAGAGTAAAACTTGCCACTAACACCCTTCCCTAGACCCCGCACAGAGCGGGAGCTCTCTGCATTGGGTACACCCTTTTTAGTACCAGGAGGGTATTCAACAGGCTCCTCAAACAAACAAAGAAAGCGCCGCATTACAAATATAAAACACGCACACAGTTACATTTTAAATGCTCCTCACCTGTCAGTTTACAAAAGAAGCGACGCAACGTCTTTTAATCATCTTTCTGATGTCTACTAGCACCAGGTAGATTACTAGTACCATTCAGTGGTGCATGGTACACGCGCTTCTCTGCCAGCCCAAGATTAGAAAGAATTAAATTGCCCTGGGGAAAGAGAAGGTTATTATATGGTGGGATCATGAACATATTAATTTCATATTCAAAAAGGTGATCGGTCATTCTAGGGCTTATTATTGGAGGAAAGGCCCACGCTAGAACGAAACCCATGCAAAAAAAAAACACTATGTACAGGCCCAAGAACCTTTTTTTAGGATTTTTTTGTGTGTGAAAAGGACATATTTTGGCAGCTGCAGCTGGTGCATAGGGAACAGTGTTAGGCTGGTGTTTGTTTGTTTGCTGCAGCCGCTGCAGGCCTACTCACTAAGGGCTGGAGAGAAGATTCACCTCATCAAATATATAAAGGAGCCAAGGGATCAAGAAAGGGCACTCTCCCTCACATTCCTTTTTCAAGCTTATCTTTCCTCCCCATATTGGCAATGGTTTTTCTGACAGCGGCGCCATCCTCTTTATAGGTAAGGAGAGGTCAATCATATTCTCCAGCCCTTGGTGGATACAAATATTACGAATAGGCCATTGGGCCTTTGCATGGAGTGCTTTTAGACATGGGCTCAGTTTTAGTTTTAGCCTACCTCCATTGCTATCAGTTTTCTGACGTTTTTTGCGTAGAGCTTAGGATCTTCCTTTTCTTTTGAGAAGGATAGTATACAGGCAACCGAACCACCTCCATGTGATTTACAAATTCACAGAGCAGCAAAACACATGACGTGCCTTCAAGTTTTTGTAAGAGAAAAAATGAAAAAAAAAGGTGTCAGAACTCAATGAATCAAGGAAAAAGAGCATATTATTGCCAATGCAGAAATAAATGTAATAGCCAACACAAAAGATAGACACAAAGTTGGTTAAGTGCCATATACTTAAGAAATTATATAGAAACCATGAATAAATGTTTGGATGTTCCATATGGAGAAGTGCTCTAGCATGGCAGTCTCACTATCTAGCCTA